GCAGTATCAGTCATGCAACTCATCTCCACACACAAAAAAACACAAATGCTCATAAACGAGAAGCAATGAATTCTCATAATTTACTGCCATTGGGTAAAACATCATTTGTAATAATGTAATATATAACACCAAAACACATTTTTTGAGATGTTGACAGTCATATACATGTCCCACGTTGCTAAAAACACTATTAGGACACATATATTTCACAAAAAAAGTGAAAATTGGTTGTTTTGCATTGTTTAGAGCAAACCTTTAGGACACACCATGTAACCAGCGATTTTTGATTACCCTAATCTGACTAAAGTCATAACTGAACTAAACAGAAATGGAACTAAGACATGTGGAGTATGCATATATCAGTGGTATTATTGAGGTAAACACCATGATCAAACTATTGATAGACTATTGATATGATATAGTTTGAAAACCCCTGGTTTAGAGCAAGTGTGTCAAATCAATGTTCTTTGTTTAAGTTTATTCAGATGGCAAAATTAGTTAGTATTGTCAGCAGTGCTCTTTCAGTTTTTAAAGACATACCTAAGTCAAAATGATTTAGTTACTAAGTTTACTGTAAAATCACTACAATACTAAAGACTGAAAATCCTCCACTTCCACACAGCTCTCAGATCCGCTGTAAATGCTGCTCTCCGAATTACTATCCATCTCCCCTGAGTCTGTGTTTGTGTTGCCTCTGTGAAAATCAGCTGTTATGCACTTAATGAAACTCCCCTTTTCATGCAAACCCTTTCACCACTCCCACCTAAAGCTGGACTCACCCACTTTCCTGACTTTTTTTAAACTAGAGGTGTGAAAACCCCCTGCTGAAACAAGGGGTTTCATGGCGCTTTAAATTAACATCTCTTAGAGACAAATATATATTTAAGATGTATCTCAATGTAACAAATAAATACTAAGTAAAGGCACTTAGTAAGGGTTTTAAGCGTAGTATGAAATCTATTAATAGAAATGCTTTCTCTCTTGCTGTTAATTTTAGACTAGAGAAACGGCAGAAAGACTTACCTGTGGAGCTGTTCCTCTAGATACCAGCACTGGATTGTTGGTGGTTCGCCTGTTCCTGGGCGGTGGATTAACTGCCTGGATGTCCTGATCCACAGGTGGAGGAGGAGGACCAGGCAGCGTTATTGTCAACTCCTTGTTTGTCTTCTCCAATAGATACTCATTTATTAAGTCTGTAAAAATATGATATAGCTTTTGTTGTTGCTGAACTATCACGTTTAAATCAGAAACAATTTCAATTCCATACATTGTCAATGGAAAATAGGTACGAAGAGAGAGTAACAAAGTAAATAAATAATATCAAAGAACATGAATATAAACTTGAGGGTAAAATACTTAAGAGTCAATTACAGTATACAAAATAATACAAGTATTAGCAATATCCATAAATTTAGAAAAGGTTACTTTACAAGGACACATTTTGTGAAGCATTTTAAAATGTATTTCTTAAATCTTATTTAAAAGGCTAAATTTAAATGGAATTGACCAGGTAGCTTTCCAAATAGTATCAATAATTTTTGCATTCTATTAATACTTCCCCCTAGGGCAGGGATGACAAACTCAATTCCAAGAGGGCCGAAGCCCTGCACAGTTTAGTTCCAACCCTGCTCCAACACACCTACCTGTAGGTTTCAAACAAGCCTGAAGGACTCAATTAGTTTGATCAGGTGTGTTTAATTAGGGATGGAACTAAACTGTGCAGAGCTGCGGCCCTTTTGGAACTGAGTTTGACACCTGTGCCCAAGGGGATACTTTGTGTTTAGATTGCAACAATTGTCTATTTTTAAAACTGTTATTTTTATGATGGAGAAAGTATGTCAAAACCTTAATTTTTTTTATTCTGGGAGTATCTTTTTAATGTATCCATAAGAAAGGTAACTGTTAATTAGTTGATATTTATAGAAAGTTTTTTTATTGAATACAAGAAAAATAACATCACTGCATTAAAGTGAAAATAAAATAATCAAAAATTAAGAAAATAGAAAAATAGAGATTTTTTTTATTTTACAAAGCCTCAATCATTAAGAAAAAAAACATTATCATAAGCTTTAAGAAACAGTTTATTATTATTATTATTATTATTATTATTATTATTATTATTAATAAGCTTAAGAGATTCAATTTTAAACAAAATTTCAGCAAGAAAAGTATTAAATCTAGTTATTGATATTTATAGAAAGTTTAAAAAAAAAAAATTTTTTTTTAATTAACTCAATGCCACATGAACAAGAGGTACTACATTTCACAAGGTTTACTGAAAGAGTAAATATAAAAAGACATAATAAAATAAAGTAAAATTACATTTACATAAAATTAAATGTTTTCAGAGCAGTATATGTTTTCAGTGTTTTTTTGTTTAGTGATTCTAGTGGTTCTAAAAGACTACCATATAATTTGAAGTAATTTACAAAATGCGAATAGGTTGGTTTATGTTAACTTTTTCATAAACCACTTTTTCTTATGTATATGGTATTCCTAACAGCATAAACAAATTAAAAATATGTTGCCTTTTACAGTTCAAGTTCTCATTATCAAAAATAAAACAGTAAATATCTTTCCAAAATATTCTTCAGTAATATTTATAGAAAGTTTTTTATATTGAATACAAGAATAATGACATCCCTGCATTGAAAAATATACAATAACAAAAAATAAGAAAAAAGGAACACAAAACAACAAAAACTTTACAAAGCCTCAACCATTAAAAAAAGATTATCATAAGCTTTAAGAAACATATTATTCTTACTATTATTAATAAGCATAAGAGACTGAATATTGAACAAAATTTTAGCAAAGAAAGTATTAAATCTAGGTATTGCCTTTAGGAACCTTTTTTGTGTATAAAAAAATTAAAGTGTAACACAAAAAAATAACAATAAGATCAAAAGCATTATCGTTGCCTGAGAAATACAGAAATTATATTTGGAGAAAGTGGACAACAAGGTCATCTCACAACGACGTCACTCACCTAGCTCCAGGTCTGCAGTGAGGCATGATGGGAAAGAAGAGACAGGAAAAAACAGTTAAACGTGCTCATTCCTGGAAAACGAAACTGAAACAACTTATCTAACCATCTACACAACATCACACTAGCGCTTAAGGACAAGCAATGTCGTGTGAGAAAAACATCTCTGCAACAGTTTATGCGTTATTAACAAACGAAAAACACGAGATGATAAATGTTCAATTAAAGCTTATTTGTATAGCACTTTTTACAATAATTGTTTCATAGCAGCTTTACAAAATGAGCACATAATAGCAATACTATCAAGTTAAGTTCTAAGTTACAATCAAATAAAGTAATTGTATATAAACATAGTTAACCTGCAGTTTTAGCGTATAGGTGATGTCTATGTGTACATATTTATTGAGATGTGTTTGTGTATTAAGTGTACGTGTTGTCCTCGAAATCTTCGATGGCTGGCATCATCTCTTCACGGGTCTTGTAATGTAGGCTACTATTCGATTATACTAAACGATTATTTGATGACAGTAAGTTAGAGGGAGAGACACATCCGCGGGCCTGTGTTATTGTTTCGAACAGGCCCGCAACTTTTGGAAACACCCACTTCCCCTAGAAACAACTTACTGTCGATAATACCGTCAACTTCAGTGTCAATAAAAGCGATATGAAAGCAATATAACGTGATGTGGCGATTGTGTTTAAATTCAAGTGCACAATAAACTGCGTAGGTTCAAAGTAAAGCAGATATCGCTAAAACATGCTGAATCACAGTGACAACAGGGAGAAAGTGAAGATGGAAGAAACGAAAGACACTGACCTCCATTAGCCGCTTTGCCGTTCGGAATGTTCATGTCTTTCATTGCAAGACAAATTGAGAAACCAAAGTCTCTTCGGCTCCTTCACGCGCTCTCGCAGTCGTTGTTGTGCTGAACTGCTGCCCGAAAACCAGAAACGGAGCACTTCTCGCCAGGCCCGCGTTACGCACTCATTTCCGGGTGCGTCGTTTTTTGGAAGGCTGTCAAATTAACAGAAGCTTTTTAGGGAAGAAATCCCGAGAGAAGCAGAGAGATCTCTGTAAGTTATCTCGGTCTCGTGGACAAACTACTGACATCAAAATTCGCTCTGTTTGCTCGTTTCACTTTTCTCTTCGTAACTGGTGGTGGAAATCCCCCTACGTCACGATTGGGGAAACCCAAAAAATGGTCACCATGACAACGTCTACCAACAGGTGAGAGCGCGTCCTAAAATAACCAACCCATATAGCTTTATAAAATAACACATCATTTTACAGTATTAGTTAATTTGTATTATATACACACCAAATACTAATTTAAAATGTATTAATTATGTATAACATGTATATAAACCATTATTAACTAACATGTAAATGAACTAATATGTAAATATACTATTTTTACTATTATTATTATAAAAATTATTAATTCATTATTATTATAATTGTTATCTTTAATATTTTAGGACCACATATCCTGCTTCCCTATAATGTTTTTAGGTTTAATTCGGCATTTTTTTGTTTTTAGATTTATTTCGACATTTGTACATTAAAAAATATTTAAAACCATTAAAAATATAAATGCCTATGTCTATGAAAATAAACACCAGATACAACCGTGTGACACGGGAAGATCAGAGTGAGTGAAACCATTTTTTAAAGGTCACGTGATCTACAATAAATATTGCAGATACTACAGACGGATACATTACCACTATCGCTTTTGTCATTGCGTCAGCTTCTGTTTATATTAGCCCTGGTAATGTTAAAACACTTCGAAAAAGCCTAAACTGCAATAACGCATGTAAAACACTAAACTGTACAGATCTAACTAAAGCCCTTGATTTTTATTCATGACTAAACCAGTCAAAATACCACCTACACACCCCTCTGCCCATACTCTGCCCTGATATTTCCCATCGACACGTGCTGGTCATATGACTGAGAGGTGCATATAAAGCGATCATGTGAGAGCGCGCCCAGGCGAAGCAAACACCCCCAAAATTAGCGACCAGCTCTCCGATTTCACAGTTATCATGCGCCATGCCCTCACCAATCCCCGTCACCCGACTTTTGCCAAAGGATTTCGGCCTCGAGTTTGGCGCATGCAGCAGCCCGCTGACCAAAACTGCCAGTGGATCTACCCTGCGCGTGCCCACAAACAAGTTTCATGGTAAAGTCGCACACAGGCTCTGGTCCTCCGTGATCCACTGGCGCGAGCTGCAGGCTCTGGAGCCCATAGGCAGCGGTGGATTCGGTACGGTGTTCAGAGGCACATACTTCGGCGAGACTGTCGCTGTGAAAAAGGTCAAGTGTGTGAAAAACAAACTGGCATCGAGGCAAAGTTTCTGGGCGGAACTCAACGCCGCGCACCTGCACCATCAAAACATTGTGCGCGTGCTCGCGGCCACCACGTGCACTCCTGCGCATCTCAACACCAAAGACAACATCGGGACGATCGTAATGGAGTTCGCAGGCAATATAAATCTACAGAAGCTCATTTATGGGCTCACAGACTTGCTTCCTGTGGAGAAGTGTATAAAGTATTCAATAGACATCGCGCGCGCCCTCCAGCACCTGCACGCGCACGGCGTAGTGCACCTGGATTTAAAACCAGCCAATGTCTTGTTGTCAGAACAGGGTGTTTGTAAAATCGCAGATTTTGGGTGCTCGTTTAAAATATCCAGCACAAGTGACACCGTGACGCACATGAATGAAATCGGCGGCACGTTTACGCACCGGGCGCCCGAGCTGCTGAAAGGTGAGGAAGTGTCGCCGCGCGTGGACGTTTATTCTTTTGGCATCACGATGTGGCAGCTGCTCACCCGAGAGCCGCCCTATGAGGGAGACAGACAGTATATCCTGTACGCTGTTGTGGCGTATAACCTGCGCCCTTCGACCAGCAGGAATGTTTTTACCCAGTCTTCTATTGGACAGACTTGTCAAAAACTGATCAGCCGGTGTTGGGACGGCGACCCCAGCATCCGACCGACCGCAGATAAGCTCGTCGACGAACTTTCAGTTTTACTGTAAAATTGAATCTCCGCGTTTGCAAAAAAAAAAAAAAAAAATCTTCAATGAAACGTTTTTTTATAACAATTGTTTAATATTGTAAATGTTCGTGTTTTTGTTTTATTGTGAAGCTAAATTTTTTATGCAAAAATGTTTAATTAAATGTTTCCTTGTGTTTAAAGCGAGCCTTTTGTTTGATTTGTTGCATTTCCTCAATATTTAAAAAAAAACAAAATAGTACGACACGACACCTTGTAGGCTAGGTTTGCAAATAAACGTTTCACAAAACTAGTAACTTGTCAAACCTTATGGATCAGATTTCATCCAATAGTTTGATTAACGACTGTTATTTTGCTTTGTTATCCTGCTGCTGCACGTTAACTCGCTTATAAATATTTTGACCTTGACCTGTCCACTTATTTTACACAGAAGCGGGTCTCCTCCTAAAGTGACATGTTGAGGTCACCTGAATTTGAAACATTTAACACTATTTAGATAAGAGATTCCCAAACTGGGGCTTGCGGGCCAAAGTTGGCCCTTTGAAACATTTTATATGACCCGCCATCCCAATTGAGGATATTGGGGGTATTGCCTTTACATATTGGGATTTTTTTTTACATATTGTCATACATATTGCCTTTTTGTAAACTTTCGTTTTGTTAAACTACAAAAATTCAAATTTCCATGAAATGTTGTGATTGAATCCGATAGTTTTTAAATCTACAGTTGCTCGACGGATAGACCAAATTTAGAAGTCCTCGGCGAGCAAATAATGGCAAAAGCAGGTGCAGATTGATTGGTGTATTCAGCATCAAACTCCATTTTTGTAAATGTAATTCTTGTTTTCATTGTTATAAATAGTTTATAATAATACATTAGTTTAAATGTAGTTAATATGATTAAAGTTATGTGTCCTATTTATTTTGAAAGAAATGAGGAAATGATTAATGGCAATGTTTATATTGATCTTTGGCCCTTAATCGTGTTTGGTTACCCCTGATTTAGAAACTAACAATCTTGAGAACACAATGCATTAATTTCCTTTGACGATGATGTATTTTCACCGCTAGGTGTCACCACAATATCAAAATATGCATCCGCGTATATTTGTGAACATTGCTGAAATAAACGAGAGGGTGCTCGCTGCAGAGCCATTTGAGGAGAGCTGAGCTCCAGCGAGGGGGAGCTTAAGCTTGAGCTCCACCTTTCTTGCACTTCTTCTACGAGTGATGTCACTGGGGGTAGGGTTAGGGGTGGCGTTGGTGTACGCATTAAAACAGCTTACAGGAGGATGAGCGACAGCTCATGCTCCCCCTCGCTGGAGCTCAGCTCTCCTCAAATGGCTCTGCAGCGAGCACCACTTGGGAATAAACCACTACAAGCTCAACACAACAGAAATTGCTCGAGGAGTCAAAGACCCCCAAGTGTCTGAGACCAGACTGAAGGCTAATCCATGTACGAGTGGTTTTAACTAAAAATAACCTGCAGTGACAAAGTACACCAGTAATATGTTTCTCTAAGTTATTGAAAGCTGCTTAATTACCCTATTTATTGAAGGCATAGTCCTGGCATAAACCAAGTCCTGTTTGTGAATCCAGCTGAACATTGTATTGCAGACGTATTAGATAAAGGGGAGGGGATCAATTGTGTTAAAAAAAAACTTTTTTTTTTTTTTAGAGTCAAAATATCTAGATGAAGTAAGTATAAAGTAATACATTTCCTTCTTTTATACTTTTTAAACTTTGGATAACCCATTTTGATAGTGCCTCTTTCTAAAAAATACTTCATAAACCCAAATAAAACTTTGCTTTTGCCCATTGATGTTTCTCTAGAATAAATCTAAGAGATATTTTAATAATTAAATATGACCGTTTTCACAAAGAGTCATGCTACTATGGTAAAATTATTTTATAAAAATACTAAATGATGTATTATAATTAGCAGCTAAGTCTTTACACTGGTAACCACAACATATTTTCCAGAACAAATAAATAAAATAAGCATATTTGCACCTCAAATGGAGCAATCAAATGTTTCACATTTTGTCCAAAATCATTATGTGGTTTCTATTTAAAATCTTCAGTATTTACTCATTTCTCTTGCTGTATTTATGAGTCATGCTTCATCTCAAACCTTTCAAAAGTATGCAAAACAAACGCAAACATAAAACTCATGAGACAAAAATAACTCCAATGTCCACTTTAAACTGTACTTAAGCTTTACTATAAACATGAGTGATCAAATTTTGGAACGTACCAAAATAAAAGCCCAATCAACTCAGAATTACGGCACCAAAATAGGACAAACCAGACATTTCGTCCCACGCAAGTTCTTGGACTGTGCCATGAGTCCAGCCGAACCGGACACACGGAGACACACTGTGGTCCAGCAGTGGAGTGTGAATATAATGAAACTAGTTCTCAGTGAGAGGACTGGCAATTCAGCTATTGCTAGACAGATTAACGTCAGCAGGATTACATTTTACAAGCTGTTAGGCTGTACAGTTTTAGGACATACAAAATAAAAGTCAGAGGCTTTGAAAAAAAGAAAAGAAATCATGACCATAGTTATTAATAATATTAATATATAATTATATATTAATACCTACAAGGCTGTTATTTCTTTATTTTTATGTTCAAGTCTGCAACATCAAATCTTGTTTTAAAAACGTGGAAAGTCTCTCGTCTCGCACGGAATTGACTGTTTGTTTGGTCAGCTCCGTCCTACTCTACGCTGCTGCGTCCTGGTACCCCTTCACACATGGAATGAACAGAAAATAAGTACACTGAATCAGGAGAACAGTGAGGTTTTGTTTGTCCTCTTTTCCTTAATCTTGTACTTCAAAAAACAAAATGATATGTACTGCAATCGCCCTATTCACTCCAGCCGATGGGATTTAATCTCGGACCACCTAACCCTTCATGTTATTAGTGTTTCCAACCCAAAAATATACAATACAGTACATCACATTTTACTTCACTTGGACTGCAAAAATATGGGAGATTGGAAAAAAAGAAGAATGATTTTAGGAATTCTACATTAAATATATTTTTTTCATGTGGATCCCACACAACGGAGGATCGTTGAACTGAACTTTTTTTTTTCCTGCAGTCTTTTACGTAATACCATTAATCCAGTTCCCTTCCCTGACAATTAAACAAACTCAGCCTCGAAGATGCATCATGCACCTTCAACAAGACCAGAGGACAAGGGAGAGGAGGGGGGGTTAAAAGGGGGTTAATCATTCTTCTTCTCCCCCTCAGGTTTTTCTGTGATGGCAGCAGGTGTTTCGCCAGCTGCCGGCTGGGCTGAGCTGTCCTTGCTGTGGTCCACACCGCTGGTCCCGAACTCATTCACACGGTTGGGATCCACTCTGTAAATCCAACGCTGGTACAGATAGATGAAGAAGACCACATCTGTGGGGGAAAAATTGACAACATGTCCAATTAAATAGCTAAAAAATATTAGCAGTATTCTTTTGTTTTTATGAATGATGCATGCTAGGCTGTGGCTCATTAGTACAGTTAACATTACTGTATGTATGCTTAAAGGTGCAGTCAAGCGGCAACCTCTTGCGATCCCTTGTGAAGCAAATGTGGAGATAACTGAAACTGCAATTCACCGAAATTCTGCTAGTCCTGGCTCCATTATAGAGCAAATTTCTATTTACCCCACTGTTAAATGACCAACTTTACAGTAGGAAAATGGTGTTTACAGTCTGGTACAAAGAACGATTTTAGTTCATATAGCTAATATTACCCTTCATGACAACTGTGAGAGGATGAATTTTCTATTGCATAAGTAAGGGTGTGGCCGCTTGAGTGACAGCTAGGTTGCGTCACTTTACCTCAGCTGATTCCGTCTGATTAGCCGCTGAACTCAGCAAATACATATATACATATGCATATACATATTCAGCGTATTTTTGTTTTGTTTTATGTGGCTTTTCATTCTGGTCAGAACACAAACGAGTTGCAGGTAATAAAGTATTAAGCGTTGAATATTATACTCCATTAAAAGGAGTTTTCATTCTAACCATCACCTGAAATTAATATTTTAGAAACGGCTTCTATTTCTTGCTACTGAACAACAGAAGACAAAGATCACCTCATGTGCTTTATTCAGTGTTAAATACTAACAATGCGAGTTTGAACGCCATTTTACATGACATTTAATGCCATACTACTGAAAGCAGCAGACGATAGTTCACCTCAGATCTTGAAAATAAAATAAACTGTTTGAAATTGAACTTTAGAACCACGACTTGCAACAAATACAAGTGATTCAGCATGTAAATGAGGTTTAATATGTATTAATTAGATTATAAACCTTACCATTTTGTTGGAGTGCAGTAAGTGCAAATCTGTGCTTCTGAATGGCTGTATTTAAAATTCTGTTGTGTTTCATCTGGTGCAAACAGCAAATTGCTTATCACTGCTAATCTCTTCACGTAATGTGTTATTTGTGTTACAATATAACCTGCTCACATAATGTTTACATTTGTGATATTTATATCATTTGCCAATTAATAACCTCATGTGGAACTCTGAATCTGCGTCTCATTTCGGAGGCTGTTACTGTCCACCAGAGGTCGCATTTCAGTCGCAGGCACATACTTTAAAAGCCTTGCTGACTGAATGAATTGCTCTGTTTTCCACCAAGGCAACCAGAGTGCTAAAATATAATTGACTAAACTGGCATTGGGCAAGTGACCAAAACAAAAACATACATTCCAGCACAGAAAGCACATTTTCAAAGCAGAATATCGGACTTTAGCATTGTTTTTCAGATAAACAAGAATGGTCACTTGGCATGTTTCTTAAATATCCGCAGACATATTTTAGTATTTTTATGCTTTACAAGAGTCAAAAACTTACATACAGCACCTTTAAAGTCTGCATGAACCAGAGGTCAATATGTTGACGTACTTCCAGCTGAGAGCTGTAGAGGGTGGGACTTTCTTTTTGTGCATCATTCACTGGTAGCAAACTAACAGTAAGAGGGATGTGGTTTAAGAAAATTGTGTTTGAAATGAATATTGCGTTTTGAATGTTGAAACAAATGGTCAAATTTTAACTTAAAGATTACCCAAATTTTCACATTAATTGTTCACCTAAAGAACATCAATGTGAACTAGCAAACTAAATACGATACATTTCGATTTCACACAGACTTTAAAAGATACTATTCAATGTAACAAATAATTGAAACATTCATTTTGGAAAATTCAGGATGTCAGAGGGAAAGGTGTATGCACGTACCATCTCTGAGACAACCTATTCTGTACATCATTGGCATCTTGATGACGAAGGCAAACAAGTCATCTATAAAGGTATTCAGAGCCTTGTAGGTGAGCATCCTCCAGGGAAGATGGGCTACTGACTTCATCTTGTAGTTGATGAAGAGCTGCGGCGTCATGGTGATGAAACCTGGACGAAACAAAAAAACACACGGACATTTAACAGTTGCACGAGTCAGAAGAACAAAGTTTAAAAAGCAATTAGGGTTTGTGACAGATGACTAAATAACAAATCAGTGTTTAAGAACGACTTGAACTTGTATGAAGCTGTTCAGAACAAAATACGACCAAGCCGAATGTCAAGAATCAAACATCTTACGATAATATTTTTGGCTTGTAAACAGCTTCAAAACACCACTGGTCTTTTTGACAATAATAGAGCAGGTAAGGTGTAGCTCTGAGGCTCTGCCAAAAGTAAAAACTTGGAAAAGCGGCTTTGAAATAGAAACTGAAGTATTAATTTTATTTAAATATGACTCTGATACTTTATTTATAATACTTGTATAAGTGTTTTTCTTATCAGGGTTGTATGAATAAGCATGATGTGACTTGATTACAATGTGAAAGTTTGCAAAAGCTCTGCAGTTCAACAATGCTATGATCAGATACTTTCTAAACTGCTGTTTTTTCACCACTGTAATTTTTGTTATGTTTATTTTGTTGTCGAGAAGAAAACACAGCACCTATTTATATGCTCTTTCAGCAACATGAGTGGTGTCAGAATGCTCACTAAATGCATTACTAGTGCTTAGGTATTTTGACTGCAAGCAAAAAGAAAAAACATATCTGTTACAAGTATATTAGGGAGCTAAATGATTCAAGGGTCTTGAAATGTTTTTGATGATTTTCTTTTTCAACTATATATTTTTGATGAAAACACATCAACAGAAAAATGTCATGCAAATGATAGGAAGCTACAAAAAAGTCAAAAAAGAGATATACATAAAAACAGCACAATACAGGATGTAAATTAAATCATTAGCTAATGTGTTATTCACAAAACATCTATAACATATGAGAATATATTGTCAATAAGTTCTTTACAGAATATTTTGTAATAATTATTTACGTATTAATTTTTTTTGTGACTTCCTAATATTATTTCTGAACTACTATTGGCATCAAAGAGAATCACGAAAAATTGGTCCTGTAGCTCATTGAACAGTCATGGGGTTGATTCTCAAGAAATGCATGAAAGAAGTAAAAAAATAAAATAATATAAACTGATAATAATAATAATAATAATAATAATAAAAGTTAATAAGAAATGTAATTACAAAATATATCAAATTTAAAAATTAAACAAAACAATCAAGAAACAATAATAATAAAAATAATAAATAATATAAATAAAAACATAAAAAAAAAAAAAAATATATATATATATGAAATAAAAAAATTAAATTAAATATCATTTTTTTTGGAAAATTGTCTGCAACTCTATTTAAACCATACCAAAGAGCCACATCTGACAAAACGTTTCTCTGTAACTTTCATTATGAAATCCATTAAACATGAATATATTTCAACATGCAATCATATCCCCAGGGCTAACAACTGGATTTCACAAAGACCATACAGTGCTCTTTCTTATTCTATTTCACAGCACTGTAGAAAATCATTTGAGTCTTAAATGCTAATAAGTTGAATTCCCCTTTGCAGTGTTTTCCTCAGGCATCTAGTTCTTATTTGATGTGGACACAGTCTGGGAGCGTGCTTTTGGTAATCACAATTGCATGAAGACATAACAAACATGATGTGAAGCTCTACTTACCAAAGGTTAACAAGAACCCATAAAGCATACTGAGCACCCACGAGTACCAGCCCTTGTGTTCCACATATAATAAGCTATACACTGCATAGCATCCAAACAGAGGGTACAACAGCCAGGACAGGTACTTAAAGGCCATCTGGGGAAAAAAAACATGTTAATCATGGAACAATATGAATTCATCTGAATTTGCTCTAATGCAGCTTAAAAGTGACTCTTACATCATCATAGATTTTGGTTGAAGACTCCACATATGTGGACTTGTCTTTGAATACTAATCTTGGGACAATTCCAGCAATCCTGTTCTCTCTGTCCAGCTAGAAAAAAAAAGAAAAGAAAAGAATGAACATCAATTTAGCCCTAGCCATTTAAGCGGTCTAAAATGTCTGGCAGTGGCTTCATCTCACCCTGACGTCCATGACTTTGGTGATCTTCCAGAAGTCGATGAGCAGGCCAATGAATACGCTGACCTGGACCACAAAGTTGGTCTCGTTGTCCAGGATATAAAGCAGCACTACAAGAGACTGGAACACTCCGAATATGATGGAGCGTACGGAGAGTCCCTCCAGAGACTGACGGCTGTTCCAGAACTGGATATCTGCAGAGAAGATAAAATGAGACGGTACTGCTCAGATCCCAGAAGCCACAAGACTCAAATAATCAAAACAGTATTTATTTACCATTCTTAAAGGCCAGGAACTCAAAAATGCTGTGGACGATGGAAACTACAATGGTCAGGCCTAGGAGGTAGGGGTTGGTTTCAAGCAGAGCCACCTGTTAAAAGAAACAAGCAAGCATATAAACACAAAAAGACTTGTAAATGACATTTAATACTGTGCTTGTTGAACCGTTAACATTATTTCACCTATTCATGAGTCTAATTTGTAGCATAATGCAGTGTTTCCCAACCCTGTTCCTGAAGGCACACCAACAGTACATGTTTTGGATGTCTCCTTCAGAGGACCCATTCATTTTTGGTTTGTAGACTCTTCTAATGATGTGATGAGCTGATTCAGGCGTCTTTGATTAGGAAAAGTTTTAAATGTGGACTATTTGTGTGCCTCCAGGAACAAGGTTGGGAACCACTAGCTACTGTATGTTTCCATCCAAAAATGCAAATTAACTTTATGCACAAAACTGGATTATCGTATAAAAGACGTGCGAATAAAGCAGCGTTTCCATCCAATGAGTCAAAGTGAACAAAATCATCATTTCCTGATTAACTGGCGCCAAATATCAAAAGTAAAAACTTAATTTATCACAGTAGGAGAAGCTGTGTGAATCTTTTTTTCATTTAATAAACGACTTGCACCTCATAAGGCAATCCTGACATGTACTGAATGTGCGGTGAATTTGAAAGCGTCAGGCGCGAAGCGCAGATGCTCTTGACAGCTCTGGAGGTCATTAATAATATAATAACACTAATACTTAAATGGTAAAGCCTGGTTTATACTTCTGCATCGAGTGATCGGCTTGACCCATGGCGCATGACTTGCGCGTTGTCGTGCATTTATACTTCTGCGCGCTGTTTCTGTTGCGCTGCAGTAACACTTCCGTAACGCTAGTTGGCAGTGAGATGTTTTTGTTCCTCTGTGACGAGTTTCTGCGCTGGTATTTTGTTTTTTCTGAACGCTTTCTGAATGTACAAGTGGCTCGAACTCACTCATGTTGAGGCAGGAACCGGCGGACGTGCAACAACTTTAACCATGAGGTAAACACAAAACAAAACTTTTCATCTTGAGCTCCTTCATGGGACTCGGCACTAGTAAACATTCGCTCTAAAGAACTTGCATAGCTCTCGTCATAGTTATCATAGTTTTATTCAAAACTTATTATATCAAACTGTTTATCATAGTTTATCCGCATCTTTTTTTTATCAAATGAAAAGATTACTCAGTTATGCGCACGTTTTTTTATGCGCATTTTCAAAACTTATGCACATTATGGCATTTTCATCAACTAATATTTTACGCGCATCTCTTTAATGCACATAAAATAGGAGGAAGGAAACGTAGCTACTGGCATATCGAATACTACTTTAAGGTTAAAGTCTCAATGAAACTACTTTATAAGCACTTTATGTAATTTTATGCCGAGTTCAGACTGCATGATTTTAGCCCTGATTTTGACTCGCCAACAGGTTTTGAGAAATCGCAGACAAACACCTGAAATCAAAGGCAAATCGGTGCTCGTGCATGTAAGTGACAATCACATAGTATGAACTATCAAAGACGTGGTCTGAGAGAATCGCAGATGAGTCGTCGATGCCTGCAAGATATTTGGTGTGCTGAATATCTGGAGCTATCGGCGATTCAAATCATGCCGTGTGAAATGAGTTTTGACTGAAAATAACATCGGCGATCGAGAAGTTAAAAGTGCTCCTTTTCAGTTTATTTGGACCCAAGAAATAGAAGGAAAACTAGTGTAAATTTAGCAGGAGCACCCCTGTCTGTTTGACATGTATTGTGAGCAATATCACAACCGGGTCAAAAAAAGAAAGTTGAGGAGAAATTGCTAATTCCCTTCAAACCCAGGTGAGCAAATATGTACATTTTCTACCCCATTAAAGGCTTCTTTCTCGTCATGTAGTCAATAACAAGAGATATACTACATGTTTTTGGTTGTAAGATGTAGCTTGGACAAAGTTGTCGCTGATTCTTTGTATTGTAAAGTCATGCAGTGTGAAACCCACTTTCGTCAATCCATCTTGCAGTGTAAACAAAGCAGCAACAAAACGCTAAATCAGATAGTCATGGAGTGTGAAAACATCTGTGATACGACTACTTTGAAAATCATGCAGTCTGAACTCAGCATTAGATGTTGCTCTTCTGAAACGCATTTTCTGCCATGGTGTTGCTTTTATCCATTTCACTGTAAAAACTGAAAAAATAAAACAAAATATTGTGCAATATTAACTTATTGTTAGGGGTGTAACGATATTAAAACTGAACCGAAATATTGCGATACACCAACCACGATACGTATCGCGGTACTCTCACGTCCCCTGCTGCCCATTGTTGAGGTTGACGTCACTTGTCTAACTAATTGAACCAATTTAAACACATCTTTATTATCACATTTGATGAAATTGTTTTAGTAATGATGAGGTTTTGTTCTAAATATTATATTCTACAGTTAGTATTATCATGTGACTTGATTAGCATCACACTCGTTACTACTGGACGCAGGATGGCTGCTTCACATAGTACTGAGATTGCAGATCCCCCAGACACATTTCAGTCATCTGTGTGGAAACATTTTGGTTTTCCAGTTGAGTACAGGAATAGAATTCGTGTCGTAGACAAAGCGCACACCTGTCTGTCTTAACTGTTTCACGAAACTTACTTGTAAGGAAAAACATTTAAAAAGTGTGGTAATTTCACAATGTGAGGATGTAAGCAACAGAACTGCCAACAAAAGTGATTTAATATACAAAAGTGAAACCAGAATAATGCACAAATATACAAAAAAAAAAGAGATATTTACATTAATAAAAATAATATAATTAAGTAGCAAATTCAAACAAAAGTATCAAACAAAAATTAGTTAAACTCGAGCAAGGGGATGATAGTGAAGACAAATAAAAGAAATAAATATAACAAAACAATTCTAACTCATGAATAACCCCTCTTACGTCGCTAAAACTGATGAAAAGAAAAAAAAGGTCTTCAGTGCCGTGCGCCGCATTCTTCCCTATACTGAATAAAATAAACAAAGATGACCTTCACCTCTTACCTGATGTCTTTAACAATACATTTTCTACGTGTTTGCAAAATGGAAATCGTATGACATTTTCCCTATCCACCATACACTAAGAGTGAACTTGAAGAGATAAAGCTATATTGTCGGGAAGGAGCGGAGCCAAAAATTATTTACAAATCAATTGAAATAAAAATGTACAAACCTCACAAAATTTCTTAAAGTGGGCAAAAGTAATGCAAAATAATTTTGCCCAAACGAAAGTTAAGCAAAAACAACGAAAATCATAATCATGTCAGAAAAATACACGAAAAACGAGATCAAAGGAAAAAGCGCTCTCTCCCGCTCTTCCTGACATGCTTTTACATTCCCGCGTTGCGTCGCCAAATGATGTTCCCGCGCTACGTCGCTAAATGATGATAGATCGGTCTCCTGACCAATCAGCTGTCAAAAAGGCGGACCTACAGAAATGACAGGCATCAGCTGTCATGAAGGCGGACCTACATAAATGACCGGCATGGAAGGAGCGGGAGAGAAAGAGCGAGAGATCGGAAGGCAAACATACAGTCGGCTACAACCCTAACATTAGTTTCAGACACAACTGCAATGTATTTTACTGGTGAATATGTCATGTAAAGACACTTTACAAACACATTATATATATTTTTATGTATTATATACATAAATAACATAAATAAATATACATAAATAAATAACATAAATAAATATACATTTTATATGTATTATATGTATTAAATACACATTATGTATATTTTTCATTAATTTAAACGAAAACCTATCTATCTAACTGAAACCATAGATAATCAAAAATGAGCGTCTGTGTCAGCACAGCGATCAAGCCTCTCATCGGAGAATGTGGATATTATGGTGTTTTTGAAGAAGATCTTTCACTAGTCTACACTGCAGTTATTTATTTAATTTTAGTTTACTTAGTTAAGATGGCTGCACTAAAGAGTTTTTTTCTGACTAGTCTGTATTGGAGGTATTTATTTAATACTAGTTGTTTACTCGGGTATCCTGACTGTACCAAAACTGTGATGACAAAGTTAATAAAGAAAAAGTTAAGATGTTCTTGTTATTAAGTAAATTGTCCCTTAGCATTGCTGTTAACATGACATCAACCCTAACCCCACAGCAAACAGAAACCGAACCGAACCGAACCGTGGCTCCAAAACCGTGAACCGAACCGTGCCTTTGGTGTATCGTTACACCCCTACTTATTGTATTTACTTAACTGCCATTTCAAATCGGCATCAAATCTGTGATCATACTTGAGTGTGGACAGTGCTGAAAACGCCACTCTTGCTTAACTGTATAAAAAAAAAAATGACTTTTTTTGTATTTTTTACTTGAACTATAGGGTATTTCTAACTGCATTTTACCAGGTTTCATCAAACAGTAAATACTTTTAAACATGTTACGAGACAGCCCTCACTGTAGCAGGTAGCACAGTGACAAAACATATGTCAATGTCACATACATGTTAGCACGCATGCATAGCGACTGCCTTGTTGTTTTTGATTTTTATGAATGAATGCATGTAAAACGTCTATAACATCGACGAGCATGCGTGAGCGGTTGTCGCTAGAAATGAAAATTATTTGTATTATTTATTAAATTACACATTACAGCGTGTTATTACAGTCTACACCTACCCCAAACCCAACCATCACAGAAAGTATTCTGGTTACAATGTCAACTACGTAATGGATGTCATCATCTTTTTCTTCTTGTATTTTTAAGGTGGTTGGCACCCAATATTTTGGTGCATTACCGCAACCTTCAGCTCCGGAGTGTGAATCAGAGAATACGTTTACAGACTAAAGCATGGTTTCCAAACCCTGTTCCTGTAGGCACACCAACAGTACACATTTTCATTTATTTTCTTTCAGCTTAGTCCCCATTTCAGAGGTCACCACAGTGGAATGAACACCCAACTATTCCAGCATATGTTTTACACAGTGAATGTCTTTCCAGCCGCAACCCAGTACTGAAAATCACCCACAAACTCTCACATTCACACACACACTCATACACTACGACCAACTTTGTTTACCCAATTTACCTATAGCATATGTCTTTGGACTGTGGGTGAAACCGGAGCACCCGGAGGAAACCCATGCGAACATGGGGAGAACATGTAAACACCACACAGAAATGAACCTGTGACCTTCTTGCTGCGAGGGTACCCACTAAACCACCATATCACCCTCTACACAAGTTCAACATCTGCCTAATCAAACACACCTGAACCAACTCATCGGAACATTAGAAGAAACTCTAAAACCTGAATGGGTCAGATGAGGGAGACATCCAAAACATGTACTGTTGGTGTGCCTCCAGGAACAGAGTTGGGAAACACTGGACTAAAGTAATGGACACTACTCGAGTATGTACTACATTTGAATTTACTACACGACTGTTAAAAAAGTATGTTCTATATAGTATGGAAGTATATGATTTTGAACGCAGCCTTACAGGCTGCAGCAAGGACTATTTGCATGTTTTGGACATATAACAATTGATATTGTAGACAATAACACTTGCACAGAGCTAACAGAGATATTTTCTTGAGCTCAGAACTCACCTTAACAGAATCTTGGTCCTCGTCTGACTGCTCATAAGTGTCCTCGCCCAGGAAGTTCCAGGGAGAGCGGGCACTCTGGGCCGCATACAACTGCCAGCGCCACAAGGACAGGGGGCAGTATGTGAGACGAAGGGGCAGGTTTAGCAGGGTGTCATTTATGGGGTAATAGTCCTTCTGCAGGTTCCAGTAGTCGTTGAAGTAAACAATGGGATAGTAGTCTCCACTCACTGCATCAAACTTCACATCTGAGAAGAACAAAAGTGCTGTGGTTAACTACAGGCAATTCTAGATCAATTTATCAGCTGGGTCCCTTCAGTTAAAAAAAAAAAAAAAAAAAAAAAAAAAAAATACCACTTACGCTGGTCAAGGGGAGGGGGCACAGAGCCTTTCACCCAAGCCGTGTGATCATCTACCATGTTAATAGTGAGATTGGGATGCCAATGGGAAATGATCTCAACAGGGCCATGACTCTCAGCTCTCTGAGAAGTTGTGAGAACACACAAAGCAAAACTTTAGAAACTGCACATCATGTATATAAATATATTTTATAGAGAAGTCAATCCCAAGATGAAACAAGACAACAGTGAATATCAAATCAAAACTGTTTTGCTCACAATTGGTGATCTGCAATCATTTCTAATTGGTATTAACATGTTCAAATGTGTCTCATGACCACATGCACTCTCCTTTAATCAAGACTTTTCCCTCTTATTTCCATTACGCTGTACATTATTTTTGCAGAAGTGATATTGAATTAACAAACTCCTGTTGCACTTCTTACGAGCGATTGGCAAAGCAAGTAAATGAAAAGTTGAAAAGAATGAAAGCCTACAATTCTACAATTGTGCTGCCTACAATTGTGCTGTTTTAGCACAGCAATGTATAAATACTTTGTTTTCCTGCACTTTTTTATCAATACATCCCATAACTATGATATAGTCTGAATGTAGCTGGTTTTAGTGGCCGTTTATATTGTTTGATTGTTTGTTTATTTATTTATTGCCACATCTGTAAGTTATGGCTATTTATTGGCAAGATCAATACACATCAAAACATTACATGATAAGAACAACTTCATATTTCAATAAGAGATGATACACAAACAAATATATAAATAGAAATAAATAAACCACAAAAAGTAAATTAAAATATTAAATATGATTTTTCAATTCAATATTTGATAAATAACTTAAATTCTTCCTGGTGATGCCTTTTTTAAAACATCCAAAATATTGTCTAATTTATTTATTTATTTGTGTTTTAATGCCATATTAGCAGCATTGGCTAAATTCATGGCAAAACATATGCTAAATATAAAATACAATCATACAAGTTTCTTAACAAACATACATTGTATTAAAAAAAAAAATCTACAAAAAAAACATACAAGTAACAACAACACTGAAAATATACAGTCATATACAGTCTTTTAGTTTAATTAAAGATACATACTCTAAAATTGCTCCAGAAGACACCTTTTTAAACATTTCATTTAAAATATCTCCACAATAAAAACGTTCTCTAATATCATTTAAAATACACATTATGTTAAAATGTTAAATATTCTTGCACAAGTCACAAATTGGTCCCTACACCTTTCAATAAATGTGCATGTACAAGTTGAGTGTCCGATTCGAAATCTTGTATGTACAACCTGGTCATGTCTATTTTCAAAACGGTTACATTTACAAATGGATTCACTTTATACAATTTGTTATTCCTACATTCATCCCATTCGCCATTATTCATTAATATACAGATTTAAAACAGGTTTAACATCAGACACAGGAATTTTACAGTCTGTTATTTAAAACTGTTAGGGCTTCCTTAGCTGCTTTATCTGCACGTTCGATTAAAATAATGTCTAACAATACTTTCACATTCTAATGAAATATGTTTTATGGGAAGAGCAGCTTGACAGTAATTACATGTTGGTTGCATCATTAATAAACAAATAGAAATGAGTCAACCAAGAGTGACCAATTTGGCATCTGATATAAGCTGTTTATATATTCTGTTCTATCCAACTTGATAAATATACATTCTAATACTTACCTTGATCATTTCTGGATCAGCTTCAGTTTCTCCTGTCAATAGGTTTTTGGTCTTGAGGAACTTCCTCCTCTTGTACTTATTGAGCACTGTTGAAAAGGAAGTGTGTGAAAACAGGCTTTAGGCTTTTAAGCGGGTTCATCCATGCACTGGTAATTTGTTATTACAGGCCTGCTGACACAGGCAAATGTGTGAACATGAGAAACACAAATGTACCAGTGGTGAGAGACTGTGAACGAAACAAAAAAAACTAAACAAACTCACTTCGAGTGGCATGGACTGTGGATAGTCTGCGGTACTGGCCCTTGCGTTTGGGGTCTGGGTGGAAGCCACTCTTGGTGAAGTAAATGTGCATGTATATTGAGCCATTCTGCTTCACACTCTGCATGAACAAACAAAGGTAGACTGTTTATTAAAGGCATAGGTAGTCAACACAAGGGTTCAAATAAAACACATGTATATTTGGGTGGACATGACCATATAATGCATTTTAGATATACAGTGCTCAGCATAATGTAGTACACACCATTTTGAAAATGAATATTTTTATACATTTCTCAGTAAATTTAGGCAATGTTTTTGGTGCATTTAAACAAAATAGGTTTATTAAACATATATATTTAAAAAAAACATATTTTAGTCACAAAACATTTGGAAATTGAAGATAATACAATTAAATTCAAGCAAAATATTGCAAAAAAATTACAACCTACAAAAGTTCAACTACATTTTTTTATTTTCTTGCGTCTCTTGATTTTTTCTCTTTTTTTTACATTTGTATTTAATATTTTTCTTTAACATATAAATTTGGCTGTACTAGTTTTTGGAACGTTATCGTAAGTTGTTTTGTTAGATAAGCTCCAGATTTGGCTTCAATACTGACTAATCTAATGTATATGCACAAATCGAATATTGTATAGCTTCCAATTAAAATATGAATTAAAAAAAATAAGATTTGTGAGGGGTGTACTTCTTTATGCTGAGCACTGAATCATCAAGATCTAAAAAGATTTGTTGCGAAACCCTTGATCACTATACATGTATTTTAAGGCAGCGGAGAGATCATTAATTTTTTTATTTAGTGCCATGTCAGCAACAAAGGCTATTTTAATGGCAAGAACATTTCATTAATAAATATACAATTATAAACAACAAACAAATGACAACATAAATTAAATACAATCTTTAGCGTTAATACATGATCATTCTAAAATTCTTCTCAGTGACACTTTGGTAAAAATGTCATTGAGAGTTTATTTCATAAGACAGCAGAGAGACATCTTTTTAAAGATATGCCAGTCTTTTTAAATTAAGTTTTATTTGTTCACTATTAAAAGTTTTTAAAAAGGTAAAAATGGAAAATCTTTAGATTTTTAAAGTGATACATCTTATTAAATGCTAAAAGAGTTGTGAAGCTATTAACATACTTGTGTTTTACCATGTTCTAGTGTGCGTCAAAGCTTAGTAGGCACATGTACTGAAAAGCACCAAAACAATACCGCCGTGCAAAGTGGTTATAAATAGTCAATTACACGCCTTCATACATTTTCAAACTGTGCATGTCTCAGACCCATCACATTCACAGCAAGCAAACATGTCTCACCTCAGAGAGGTCCAGCTCTTTGTAATATTCATAGCAGCCATCTCCCGAGTCCCCTGTGGTCCACTCTCCATAAACCAGATCTTGCTGGTACCAGAACAGTTCTTCTGTATTGTTAAAATCTGTAAATATCTCGCTCTCTGAGATATACACATATAAATCCTGTAAACAGACAGGTGATGGTTATCAAACATGAACCTACTTTGAATTTCATTATGTGCTTGATTATATATTCTGCTTATGTTGTTATACATGAAAAGCTACGAATACCATAAGAGTGTCCTTAGGGAAGAGGTTTCGGCTGGGCACTCGCGGAGCTCCAGCAGGAGTGTTGGGATCTGGGGTTGATGGACCTCTGCGAAACCAGCTGCTAATAGCCCAGATGATAAAAATCCTGGGTAAAAACATGAGGGGGTTAACTTTAGACGTCAGTCCTATGATGTTTAAGAAGAGTATTCCCAGATCTCATGATGCAACATTGCTATTTTAAACTATCAGCTATAACGTGAGAGTAAAAAAAATATATATATTAATATTATTTCAGCCCCTTTAAATAAGAGTAAAGTCAATTTTTGAGAAACACCTCTGGAGAAGGTAAATGCTGTAACTGTGACAATACACTTTAAATATTGCGTAAGTGTGAAATATTAGGAATGCAAATCCCGTGACATCAATTAGAGCAGTCAGAACAGCTCTGGAGTTTAGTTGTTTTCCCCTCAGGGGATGTCCATCGAGTAATGCAGCCCTCAGGACTCACACTGGGGTTGTTACAGTATCATGATCATATCTGGCAATACCAGTAAACCCGGTAACCCAATTTTCATAACACAGCAATGCCAGAGATGTCATTAAAATCAAAAGTTGAGCACAGCCAGAGCTTCAGACTCATGGCAGATGGTCTGGACTCTTTAGCAGGATCTTTCATTTGCCAACAACAGCACAGAAGTTGTCTGAATGACACACGTAAAACAACTAATCACAGTTTAATATAAAATAATGTTAAATATAATGCTGATGCATCTACAGAAGAACATGCAGAAAATTTAAATCTCCTGGATGCATTTTAAAGAGTCTATGCACATACTTCTGAAAATCATGCATTTGGCTAATCATGCTAAGTGACTAAAACTGTCACAAAAGTAAACACCACAGTATCCTTCCATTATGATTCTATGTGCAAAAATTAAGAATCTGATACATCTCATAGAAACCCTAAAAAATCCATATAACAGATCACAACTTTGAAACTTTTTCAGTTTTTTTTTTGAAAGCTTTTTCAGTTTTGCGTTCCAATGTTCCACTTCAGCACATGACATGTGATGTGAGACTCTTAGAACACTGATTTTGCATAAATATTACCAAATAAAACCATTTAACTGTACTGAAATCCAACGGCAAACACAGCTCAATCACCATTAATAATCTAAAATGTTAGCATATACTTTCTAAAATCACAACAAACCCACAACAAACCACTAAAAGGCTACAAAATTTACATTCAAAAATAATAAAATAAGTATTAATATTCAAATTATTTTAGATCTGTTGGCTCAATCCATACTGTGGAGTAGCTATGAACCTGTGTTCAATTCATCCCTACAACTTAATAAACAGTAGTACTTAAAAAGACATGAATTGTTGTTTTATTAACTGCTAGAGAGCGAGTTACAGTTTGCACTGTCAGCACCTAAGCGTTTTTACTCCTCGTAGTAAACATGCTGCTGATGATGTGACAATATAAATGATTTGAGTGATTTGATGTGAGTTACATACTATAGCTTTAAAGTGAGAACAACAGGGGGAAAATAGTTATGAGTTACACATAATTTAAATTTGCAAGATCTGAACTCACCTAAAGAGGACACCTTTAATCACCTGCCAGGCACTGGGCTGTTGTTGTTGCTGTTGTTGGGGGTCCTGTGCAGTTGCACCTGTCTGAGCTACCTGACCAGAGGCAGCTGCCCCATTACTGCTCACCTGCACAAAACATTTAGTGATAAACAATTAAATATACATGCAAAATGTTTAGTACACATTGTACAAGGGCAGCACAACAAAATGGAAAGAAATTGCAACTGCAATTAAGCAAATGCTGTGGTTTTTATGAACATCTTTTCACGGAAGATCAGTAGTAAATCTCCTTCAAAGCCCAGAAAGCTCTCACATGAAACTCCAAATACTCATGAAGACTACATGAAATCCCTATGGTGGTTGCTAGATTTAACTGCTTACACTGATTAATAAACACATAAATATGGAATATTCTCACAGAAAGACTTAAACACTTGACTTAAGTTATGAAGCGAGCGTGAAGTAAAAATGTCTGAAATGTGGCATTTTCACATGCTTTTAGATGTAGCAGCAACAAAGCCATAGTTTACAGAGAAGCTACACAGTCATTATCTTTAATTTCATAATCACACAAATTAACCATCTACGATAATGAATGTGTTGCTGTGTAGCTTGTAAGTGAAATACAAACCTGTGTAGTAAATGTTGCTCTAACTAAAACTGCTGGGGCCTCATGTACAAAGACTTGCGTGGAAATCATACTAAAACATTACGTACGCACAAAGCTGTAAATGTGCGTACGCAGTGTTTCATACATCTGAATTTTTTTCTGCGTACGCAGATTTACAGCTTTGTGCCAAATCCCACGCATATTCTTTTGTACATCGGAATGAACGTGAAACTGAGCGCAACATGCACGAGCACAAAACCCCTCCCTGCCTCCTCCCCCATATGAATATGCTAATGACTCTACTTTGGCAAAACCCAAACGAAAAAGCAATGGCAAAAGCAAGCAAAAAGAGAAACTTTGAACAGAATGTGAATTGAAGGTGCTGCTTTCGGAGGTAGACTGGAGGAAAACGGTGTTATTTGCAAGTTTGTCCTCCGGAATTAACAACAAAAGAAAAAAAATAGAGTGGGAGAGTTTAGCTGATGCGGTTAACATGTTGTAGTACCCTTAACAGTCTCAGTGGCGCAGCTCGTAAAACGCATGTTAACATGTTTTGACACGTACGAGCATGAACTCTCGAATCCAGCGTCTGATGAACTCTTTCTTCTTTTTTCCCCCGCTACATATCAGATTTTGCCAACTATTTATCACGAGAAAGACAAGTAGGAATCATTAATAAGTCTGTGCATTATATTTTATTCGCACATTTATTGAATGGAAATGTTTCCGATTCACGCATGCAAATTCATCTTCAGGTGGTGCCTTTATAGCAATGTGCATGCAGTAGATCGTTCCCATTACAATGGGAAAACAGGCGACCGCTGCAAATTGTGTTTTAATGTTTGGCTGGTCAACTGTATGGTATGGAAATCTTATATACCTGCTAGATGAACCTGTCTCATACAGCTGCCATAGCAAGGGTCAAAGACACTTTGTAGAGTGCAATTTAACACAACTGCCTCTAGGAGTCGCCAATGGAAATAAAACAGACACGCACAAAAAATGTAATATAGCTAGCGTGGAGCTGCGCACATTTTCACGTTCAGTTCATCGTTAGTACATCCAAACGTGAGCAATTCTGAGCGTGAAACCTGGCGTATGCAAAGTTTTTGTGCGTACGCAATGTTGATACATGAGGCCCCTGGAGATTCACTACTGTTTACAGTAAAAATGTGCAAAACAATCACCTTCAATTAATCGTGCAGCCCTACATTGTACACTATAAGATCAGACCCAGATCACAAAAGTAGTTTTTTATTTTTGCGCCTTTAACCACATTTGTTTTAAAACAAAAATCTCCAAATAATAAAATTCAGATTATTTATTATTTTTGTATTTATTCATTTATACTTTGAAACACCTTTCAGTTAAATAATTGACAACACAATATTGAAAAGAACAAATATTGCATTATCTCTTTAATTTAAACAATTCATATTATTATTTACTATAACTCTGTCTGACATACAGAACTACAATCCAAAGCTCAACTACAATCCAGTACTAAGTTAATGATTACTGATAATCGACATATTTAAAAAAACAAAACTGATCTTTCCTATACCACAAAACCCACACACATACCCGCTTGTTTTTAACTACTAATTAATATGAGTTGAACCAATAGGATTCTTACTTCTTTGTGAAGACTGTAATTGTTTCATGTTCAGTCCACTTAAATTTGTAAAAACGATTTAGTTAACTTATTTAATTTGTGTTGAGACAACATGAAGGAATATTGTGGAATCCAGCATTTTTTTTACATTGTAATATGTAGGTACAGTCCAACTGGTGCTTCCTGACAATTCTGAAAAGAAAAAGCTCATAAAAAGCTCATACTTTTTCAGACTGATTCAAGAAAAAAAGAGGCTGATAAAGCTTAAATCAGTCTGCCATTGTCTCTAAAGAAAACAAAATATGACCAGTTTCAAACAACGTGGACACAAAGAAATCACTTCCATAAATATAATTTCAAGTCCATAAAGCAACTACTGCACCTTTCATGTACCTTTGTATTCCCATCATTTGCTGTTGATCCACTAAACAACTAAACTAAAAAAAAACTAAAAAACAATTGTTCAGAGAAAATGATTTGGATATGACACTACTGGGTAAATATTAACTTTAAATCTTTTTAACTGCAGGGTGAGCATAGAATTGCTTCTGACTGGATTTAGGTCAAATAAATGGAGACAGAAGATGGGAATCTGATTTACAAATGATTCCGGTTACAATCCAGATGTCTGGAGACTAGAGCTAACAGCTTTGAGATAACAACAGGTCCCAAAAGGCCTGTCACCAAGTCCAATGATTGTACCTCAACATAATGCCAGAAACATACAGAATAAAAACATAAAAACAACACTTTTAGAAGTTGTGATATAAATGTAATAAGCAAAGTAAAGACTTGGTTGCTATTAACATTTGCATTTAGACACTTGTGTAGAGTATTTATTCAACTTAAAACTCTCTATCAATGTTTCCTGGAATGACTTACTAATAGACCTCATGCAGGGTCAGATGGTCAGCTAACCACTGCCAACACTGATTCTAAATATGGGGTCCCCCCCGAAGGCTCTGTCATGAGACCACTATTGTTCTAAATATGCAGCCAAATCAAAGTGCATTGTAGTTTTCTGTTGACATGGTTAATAGGTACACTTCATAGATGTATCATAGATGTAAATTAGTGGTGTAATGGACCCAAAATCTCACAATTCGGATCACACTATGGTTTTTTTAGTCACAGATCGGACCATTTTTTGGATCAGCCAAAAAGGAGAAAAGACAAATGTAATTTGCTTTCTATTCATCACAAAAACAGTACTGCAATAAACTTTTGGTTTTAACAAACAGAACTTAGTACCTGTGATTTTATTAAAAATAAAATGAAGAAATAATCGGCTGAATAAAAATTTTGTTGTATAAAATTCTGTGAAAAATTCACTGTTACTAATACTGTTGCTGATAATGCTAAATGTGCAAATCTAACATTATAATTCATCCAACCCATTTTTACTTATAGTCTTATTTTCAATAAATAATTCAGTTATTCACTCATTAAATGCATGTTTCATTGACAAATGTGTCATTTTTGAAAAATTATTCAGTGGCATATTTTTGATATGCTAGTTTTTGGTCAAGTAAAGCTGCCTACAACCTTCATTTTTGAGCGTCAAGTTAAATGCATAAGAAGGTGATTTTAATCTTTACCATAAACTAAATTATAAACTGTCCTCCCAATACTTCTGTATTATTTAAAGCCTTAATCTCTTTTTCGCTCTTTGCATGTTTCAAATGCAGATTTGAAAGCAGCGATTGGACGGACTAATAAACACATGCAAACCAACACCGATTATAAATTATGCTGCATGGTTGTTGAGATCTCAATGTTTTAATGATTACTCATGCAGCTTACACATGCAGGCTAAACAAATAATGACAGAAAACACCTTTAATAACCTAAGAAACCCACCGCATCCCGAATAACCTACCACTACTTCTTCAGTCATCATATTTTACAGCAAAGCATTAACAGTCACTCCAACTTGATTAGACAACAAACAAGACATGAATGTAAAAAAAATAAAAATAATAATCACACAATTTCAAATTAAATAATTACATCAAACCAGTTTTCTATAAAATCACCGAGCTTAACAAGAAATCTACAAAACTACTGAGAAACTGTCATCTGTTTACATTTGGCAGCCCACATTGTGTTGGAAAAAAGTGTTAGTGAACCAGAGTAGGTTTATAAGTCATAACACATTCATGACCTTTATAACCTGTGTAATCAGTAACCACTGGGTTATTCATCAAGACAGGCAAAGCTAACCTCACTAACATAATCCCAGCAGCTAAATGCAAGTTTTAAGTCCTGATCTGTCATCCTGAGAGTTTAGATCCAACTCTGGTATAAAACCAGAAAACCAAAGTCCTGATGTTCTCAAGAAAAGAAAAAAAAAGATAATACATTAAAATTCTCCATGAAAGCAGATCTCCAGGATCAAATCTGACCATCTCTGACTTAAACCTATTACCCAAGTAGCTGACTACACACAATATGCTATAATCATTACTAAAGCAGTCACTACCACCACAGTTCCTCCATCCATACAAAGACACGTGCTATTGTGTCACGATAGGGTCTACGTTAACTAGAAGATTAATAATCGGGATTGCACAATACTGCCATCTTTAAACTGCTTTGACATGTGAAGCTAACAGGAGAGCTAAGCAGCTAGTTAGCTTACGTGCTAACACTGATCAAGTCATACAGTCATTAGCATATAACACATTTAACAATAACATTTATAAGCAGTCATCTACATTATAGGCTATTTCTCAGAGCCTACTTAGTTGTATATCTAGGCAGCATGTTATAACGTATAAGGACATTAAATGTGCGTTCAAACTAGTTGATGGCTAAAATGCTGTCAAGGCGAGCAGTAGTTTACTAGTCTTCAAAATACAGCCTGTAAGGGATATATATATATGGAGTTAAATTAAGCTTTGTTGTGTTTTCAAAATAATAGACCTGTCGGTTAAAATAAGCCACACAATCGGAAAGACCCTCCGTGACTCAGGCAGCCTTTCTCCCCCACTGCATGTTGAATTAAAGGGGTCGTTGATTCAGACCGGCAATCTTGTTTTCTTCTTTAAAACAGAAGCGAAGCACGCATTTACTCTCGTGGACGCGTAGACTGTACTGAAACTGTTCGTTGACACGTTTAACCGACGGCTACATCCTGTCATTTCGGTTATTCTTACCTCTCCGTTGCTTACGGAGGACTGCTGTGTTGCTTGAGTCTCCTGCGCCGCCATCTTACCTGTCTCTATCGCACACTGTAATGTGCTGGTATGTAATCTGATGTATCGCGAGATTTTTTTGGTCTGGAAGCTACGAAGTACGAATTTCCGCGAGTCGGTTCTTTTGATCAGTTCGCTTGTAATGAATCAGTCCAAATATAAATACGTCATGAATGAGAGACTTTTCAACAACAACAATAATATCACTTATAACGTTAGTCAGTAAACCCTACATAATCTCTCATTGGCCTGGGTTCATCAGAGGTTTAAACTGTAAAAAGATTTGTTCATAATTTTTTTTATTTCAACCTAATTTAAAGAGATCTCATTTAAAATTCTGCATATATTTTATCCTGTCAAACATTTTCTTTCCAAGTTTAGACAGTCATAGGATCAAAACTGTTAATTTGCTTTGTTACAGCCAGAAACTGTGCTGTGTATTTTTTTTTAATTGTCAATTTACATAGAAAATATTATACGAGATCTCCAAAGTCATAACTTTTTTTTTTTTTTATTAGAATACCAACATGTTATTTGGGGATTTTTAAACTGTAACAAAAAATTGAAAAGGAAGCTTACGTTATTATGATAATATGATAATATTTACATATTCAGATGCAAATTTAATAACCAAAAACATTTTACCCTGCTATACTAAAATAATTAGAACATTAGAAGTTTTTCTTTCTTTCTTTTTGTATTTGTATTGCTCTGTACTTTGTTCTTTAAGCATTATTAATAAAAACAACAACATTATTAATAATAAGTAATAATAATAAAAATCAGCATCGTTTTATTGCTGTTTAATCATTGTCGATGAGGCTATTTGTTGTAATTCCATGTCTCAATTAGTTGATTTGATGATTCAGATTGTGATCTTTTTTAATTCAATTTTAATTGGTTTTTATTTATTTATTTTAGTTTAGATTATTCACCCTCAAATGTTTTTGATATTTTTGTATGTTTATTTTAGTTTTTAAGTAGCCTATATTTAATATGTTATTACAGAATTCCCCCTGGGATGTGATTTGATTTACCTTTTTTATTGAACACAAAAGAAAAATAATATCGATAGCAGCAAAAACATTATTAAAAAACACAAAGTCAGTGGCTACCAGATTGCAGCATTCTTCAAAATATATTCTTTTGTGTTTAACACTATGCAAAGAAACTCAAGCAATTTAATTCATATTTTGAGAATTTGTACTCCATACTTGTTTCTCTTTATCATTTATTAGATCTTTTAATTGTATTTATGTAATTATATAATTTTGTGTTGTTGTTGTGGTTATTATTATTATTATTATTATTATTAATGTGAATGTAAACATTGTGAATGTAAATTTATTGTTATCTGAGTGTTGTGTAATTTTAAAAGTATATGCCTTTCTGTAATTGTTCAACCATTGTTAATAAAAAAATCCTTTGTGTAGACTGTCAGAAAAACTTCTTTAAAATATGTAAATTTACATCCCTTTATTTTTTTAACAGCAAAATAATTATTCAAAATGATACCATTTATCTTTAAACACCAAACACTTATAACCAAATGTGAGCACACCTGCATGCAATACTTTCTCAGCCCATCATTAAAATAACGAGCTTAAATGTCAACATGTATAGGCCAACATAATTAAAGAAACTGTACTTCAAAACTAACATGTTAAATTCAGCAGAAGTTGCACAACCCGAAAAGTTGTATATTCAGAATTAGGAACATATCAGTTTTTAATCATGTAATGAAGGATTATATTTCTTATTAAAGAAGTCAGAAAGTAATCATAGTCATAGTAATCTTACACTTTGTACACTGTAACAAGCAATTAGTTGACTTTATTTTAAAAAGTGAGTAAAATTAGCAATTATTAAAGTAAAGTCAACCTAACAGTTCAGTTACAACGAGTTTAATAATATTTAAATTAAAGTCAAGTTGTTGTTTTTAAAGCAATACGTTTTAAGAAACTAAGTTTTTACACTGTCAATATAATCAGCCAATGTAATTTTCTGTTATTATTATTATATGATTGCACTGTAAAACGTGTTTAATTTAATGGAAAAGTGAGTAAAGCAGATGCCTTTGAAATGATTACGTAAATGAACTGTTTTCACAATTATAAAAAAAATTTAGGTCAACTTAACAGTTCCAAAATACAATGGGTTTACTCACTTTAAAGCCAAGTTGTCGCTTTTAAGGCAACAGGTTTGCTCACTGTAAGTAAATCTCTTTTTTCAGTATGTGTTCAAAGAAGAGTTTAGTTTACAATGTTAGTTTAAGACAGCAAATAAAAAAAAAGTAATATTATTACTATTAATGATGAGTAGGCTCCCAGCAAACAATTTTGTGTTTAATAGATGTCTAATAGACATCTAAACGTACAGTTTGGTTAAAACAGGGCTAAACTTGGGCTGTCAGACAGATTAGACAGATTAGACAGACTTTCTATGTGTAGTCATTCATTTCTGTTTATTTTTATGATTAGTTTTGGCCTTTTCTATTAGGTTTTCACTGACAGCCCAAATTTAGCCTTGCTTTAGCCAAGACGACTTTGTTTGGATGTCTATTAGACATCTATTATACATCTTTTTAAAACAAAAAATGCTTGGGCTGCATCCTGATCAAATCTAATATGGGTCAAAATATACCTATAATCGAGTACTCTAAAGTGAATTTTTAAAAAGTGCATTCTGAAAGTGGGCTACTTCTCAGTTTAAAACTACCTTTTTCTTTTCAAAAGAGCTGTCACAGATTACTATAAAGGCACAAAATCAAATCAGTTAGCTAACCTCAAAACTGTCTAAAAAAGCTAAATTACCAGCATAACAATTATTTTCCTCTCTCGCTGTGTGTGTGGCTGTTATCGGAGAAATGAGGTGAAGTTCAAATTAGTTTCAGCAATTACCTATAATGCTAGCTAAGTTTCGTTTTTGAGAAATGAAGAGAGACCGTGAAGCTATATAACCCGCTTCTGAGCTGTTTGCAGTCACACTCATGCAGCAACAGGAGCCGGCACAAATGCAAGATGGACAGAGTGAACAGGTAAGAAACGTCTTTATATCAGCAAATCAATAGAATGTTAGGAGATTTTAGGCATTCTGTGAAAAGTCTGTTTTTCTTAACATATTTACTTTATACTTCACCTATACAACATATGCATGGACATTAAAACGCGCGAGAGTAATGTAAATGTAGGCCTATCTTTAAAAAACAACTATTTTATAAATATTGCTTGATATCAAATGGATTTAAGTGTTGCTAATGTATGACAGAACTGCTGGAGTCGGATTGAGTTTAGGTTTCGTTTCAGCAGAGAGTGTGTGCGTAAGCAGATGCCGCAGATGATTCGGGAATATGAAACTGAGAGGAGCCAGCCAGCTTCTTACTACGTACAAACACGTAGATAGATGAAGATGAAGACGAAGCCGAAGGCAGGATGCAGACCAATGCAGATTGTAGCTTACTTGCTAATTATCCATCAAATAAACATCGGTTCTAAACAGTGTCTGAATTACACATTAACGATCAGGGGGGGGGGGGGGGGTCACTTTTTCGGTGAAGTTTGGCAACACATATGCTACAGTAAATCAAATTTTATAATTTATTTCAATTACATCTTATTTATTAGTAAAATGTATACATTTTCATTGTTGTGAGGGATATATAGTAACTTTTTAGAGGATACTGTAGGTCAAACTATACCAATGTGTCTATTTTTTTTAGACTATGCAGATATAAACACCTATTTTACATGATACATGACTTGTGAAGTTGCCTATCGGTGCTTTAGATCTACCAGTTTCACAGAGATTTTTCCTACACTGTAAAACCCAAATAGTTAAGGTAACTCAAACCATTTGAGGAAACCGAATTCAACAAACCATTTAAGTTCAAAAACTAATCCTAATGAGTACTGTGAACTTATCACAAATGTAATTGATTAATATTTATGATACAGATAAGAGATCAGAGAAAGCTATTTCTTACTATTAAAGGGCTGACGCATCTTGTTTTGATGTCCTTCAGGGGTGATCAAGTGTTTATTATGGGGGTCAATCCCCCACAAACCCCCCTGTAATTCACAACTTGGTTTTAAGCAGATATATAAAATAATAACAATGCAAGCCTAAGCAAAATGGTGACACTGAAATATATATAGCCTATAAAAAAATCTAAATATAGAAATCTGCATCAGCCAAATGAAGCTGATGTAAAAATAGGCTCAGTTCCTTTATATGTCCAAAGCAACTTACAGTACGAATAAGAACAATATAAGTAGCCTGACCAATGCATCATATAAGAAAATCCCCAGATTGTCATTAGGTCACATTTGTATTAATATAAAGAGAAACAAAACCAAATAGAGAATAAATAAAAGTGTTGGTGTTAGATAAAAAAAAAAAGGTTTAAATGTAAAAAGTAAGATAGAGAAAATAATACAGAAGTGATGAAAAAATAATAATTTTATACAGTATTATTAAGGGCAAACTAGCAGTTAACGTGTTAATAATACAATGGATCAATTTAAAATTAAGAACAAGAGATTATTAAATTAAATGTAAGAAGGAGCCAGCACAAATGCAAGATGGACAGCATGAATGGGTAAGAAAGGTCTTTATGATAAGTGCTATATAAATGTAAGGAATTATTATTATTATTATTTATAGCAAAACAATAGAACATATATAGGCATTCTAAGAAAACTCACTCTTTCTTAAAATGTTTACCCTATTCTCCTCCAATGTATAAAAATTATAAATGAGTGAGAGTAATGTAAATGCAGCTTTAAAAAACAACTAATTTATACATATTGCTCATTCAAATTAAAAATGTAACATAAGTAGAAAATTGTACAGGAGTGACGAAAAAATGTTTATCTTTTACACAATTGAGGACAAACTAGCAGTTAAAGTGTTAATAATACAGCTGACTCAGTTTAAACAATATATTATTGAATTAAATGTACGAAGTCCTGCAGCCAAAAAAACAATTGTAAAAGTGTTTGGGGCGATTAACTTTCTGAGAAGTTAGTCATTCACCGGTTTTCAAATA